TAGTAAAGTTTGGGAAGAGTTAAAAGTTACATGCAGATTTCTCATTGTGCTCCAACCCCCACATTGTTCCAGAGTCAGCCAGATAGGGGCCCAGCACACCCGTAAATGCTGGGCATGCAGGCATGTACCCGAGGTCCTGGCTAGCTGGAAAAGGCTGGGAAACGAGAGGCATATAGCGTGAGACACTGTTGGGGGTGCTTGTCTTTCTCTCTTTTTCTCTCTCTGTCTCTCTCAGGGTAAATAAACTTTTTTATTTTTTTTTAATCAGCTTTCGGTAGCTCTGGGATTATGTAACACCTCAATGATTCTCTCTTTCACAGGAACCGTTGACAAGCATTCAGTGGAGGTCACCAATTGCTTTTCAGTGCCGCACAATGAGTCAGAAGATGAAGTGAGTGGGGATTTGAGCTGCCCCTCTGCAGTTGATACTGTTGGCTTGCTCGGCACCCCTGGGGCCCTTTCTGCGCAGTGTGTTGCGCTCAGAGCCAGAGCTCCTACAGCCAGGGAGCTTCATTCCATTTGCACGTTCTTCCCTGGCCTTTTCTTTCTGTTGGGGGTAAGAAATGTATCCTTTTTATCCAGTTTTCTATGGACTTCTGATTCTTAGCTTCTTTTCCTACCTCCCCTCTTAGGTGGCTGTTGACATGGAATTTGCTAAGAACATGTATGAGTTGCATAAAAAAGTCTCTCCAAATGAGCTCATCCTGGGATGGTAAGTTGGGGAGGCCGGGGGCAGACAGAAAGCCACAGTGATTGCTAATCTTTTGCCACCTGACAGAGCGTGCCCTCCTATTTTGGAGACAGAGTGTAGAAAGTTTAATACCTTGAGAAGCTGTGAATTCGGTGCATTTTGCTATCAGTTCTGATCCTATGCAGCCAAGAATACATTTTTTTAAGGTTTTTGCCAAAGGGCACATGTGCTAACTAAGGACAGACAAGAGAGGGTAAGCGAGAAATCACCTCCCAAGTGGCGGCCATGCCACAATCTCTTCTCAAGTTTCCTTTTGGGATTTTGAATGTGCATGCACTCACACTGGTGTGATCCTCAAGATGCCAGGTCTGGGACTTGAACTGTAGTCAGCCATGTGGGAGTCCAGCACCCTAAGCACTACACCACTTGCTGACCCCAAGAATACGTATTTTCAATTGTAGCTTTTACTGTGTGAGTCTTTCTTTTTTTTTCCTTGTTGGTTCAGAATTTTCCAGGAGCACTAAGTTAGCCTTTAACTTAGTTTGACAGTTTTCGGTGTGTTTATATGGTTTTTGTGTTTGGTATCACTAGGTACCACTACCATAGGATGTCAGGTACTCTAGAAGTACCCAGCAGCTTGTTTGGTTATTAATGTCACACATGGACACGAGTCCGCAACCACGTTCCATTTTGCAGGTACGCCACAGGCCATGACATCACAGAGCACTCGGTGCTGATCCACGAGTACTACAGCCGGGAGGCCCCCAACCCCATTCACCTCACTGTGGACACGAGTCTCCAGAATGGCCGCATGAGCATCAAGGCCTACGTCAGGTGACCAGTCTTGAGCCCCAAGATTATGAAAGGCCGTCTGTCTAGTTCATAGGTGCATGTCATCTGACACCCCACCCCTACCCCAGCAGGTTTCCTTCCTGCAGTGTATAACTCACTGCTTCTTCAGGAAGTCCTTTTCTCTCTCTTTAAAAGTTACCCTTAGAAAGATTTACTCGAAGCGGGATTTGTCACAGTAATTTCCACTCGCTAATATTAGTGACACTCCAGGTTTCCACTCACTGCTCTTAACCATTTTCAAGTGGTAACCATTTAGGTATTTGAGCAAGCTTTCATATTTCTTTCATGTCATCTTTTCTAGATCTGACTCTCCACTGTGCCCACAGCCAGTCCTCATGGTATTCTTGTGACCCTTCACCATGCATGCTGCTTGTTGTTGTTGTTGTTGTTGGAGAGGGTTTTTTTGCTATAGGGCACCTACACTTGCCAGAAAGAAAGAGACAGAGAGACAGAAAGCAAGAAATCACCCCCCAGGGGGGATGGTCATGCCACAGTCCCTTCTCCTCCATTCTCCTCTCGGGATCTTGGGCACGCACGCACACATGCCCGGTGTGAGTTTAAGCTACCAGGTCCAGGACTCAAATAGCGGTCGACTACATGGGAGTTCAGCGACATAGCCATTACGCTAACTGCTGGTCCCTGTGGTGCTTTTCTGAGTGGCCCTTTAGTTTATCATTATCCATCCTCGGCACAGTGCTCAGGGTAGCACAGACTAAAGGATGACTGTCCTTATTTCGAATTTATCTATTAACCTAGGATTGAGTGCAGCTTGGATACATAACATTTCAGCATGCCAGTAGGTGGGGTGTTAGGAAAGGCCCTGGTGGCACATCGAGGGAGAGGCTACTGTGGGAGTTGGCAGGATTATTTCCTCTGGTTAGAATAAGGCGCTTGTTAGTACATCACTGAGGCTGGTTCACTTCATGCTGTTTCTGTGTCTGACTCTCGGGAAGCCAGTTAATGGCTGTGCAGTAAGACAAGGATGGTGGATGCCGGGTCCTTATGTGCCGGTTGAGTACCAGAAAGATCTAGCCGCTGCCTGACTGCATAGCCTTTCTAGATATTTCAGACTTCTCGAAGTCCAGGTGAAAACATACAGTTGACATAGTGAAGACGTGTCTTTTCCTTAGATACTTACCTACTATTGGAGCAACAAGTAGTCATCTAGTCATGGTGGGTGGGATCTTTTTTTTCAGTGCTAATGAAGGACTCAATCCCACAAAAAGACTTGTCTTGACTCTTCTTTCCATGGGAAGGGGTATCTAGGGAGCCAGCCCCACAGGGGAATCCACAGGGCGTCCTCCCATCACTGAGACTGTTCAGTTTGTGAAGTAGTCCTCTAATGGTACCGGGCCAGGTCTGCAGACGGATTCCTCTCACATAAGTCAAGGGCTTGGTGCATGGAAATAGTGAAGGAGAAAAAGTGGCATTTGCTCTTGTGAGGTCTCGAGTACAGGCAGTCCCAGCCTTCAAATCTCAGAACTGTGGGAGTCATACTCCTCCTCTGACTGCTTTCCCAGCCCAGACTAGGCATGGACACCCTAGGCCATCTTCTAAGGCCTTCTGTTTACCTTGACCTCTCCCTCTCCCTCTCCAGCACTTTAATGGGTGTCCCCGGGAGGACCATGGGAGTGATGTTCACACCTCTGACGGTGAAATACGCTTACTATGACACAGAACGCATTGGTGGTGAGTGACCTTCCTAATCACTCCTTAGAGGTTTGGGGCAATTTTTAGGGGAAAGGGCTGCTGCTTTTTAACAAGGAAGGAGGCCTTGGGTTGTTTAAAGAGAAGCCACTGCTCTGAGGTTTGTGATGACTAGAAGTTAGTCATTCTCCTATGTAAATGAGACTCGGAATTATTTGAGAAATTGTGGCATGTGGACAGCACCAGAGGCCCTGTGACCATTCATAGGAAACCAGTGATTAGGGTACTAGACAAAGGCATTGAGGTCTACCGGGAAGAGGAAAACCTGGTTAGGACAGAGCAGGGGCTTAGGGAAGCTGACTAAGCCCAGAGGGAAGTGAGGAAGAGCATTGACAAGATGGATGTCTTCCCTGATGAAGTGACCAAATTCTACGTCTCATGTTATCCACCACCCCGCACCCCCACCAATCACTCCCACAGTTGACCTGATCATGAAGACCTGTTTCAGCCCCAACCGGGTGATCGGACTCTCAAGTGACTTGCAGCAAGTAGGAGGGGCGTCGGCGCGCATCCAGGACGCCCTGAGCACAGTGCTGCAGTATGCCGAGGATGTCCTGGTGAGGGGGAGAACAGAGCGAAGGGGAGGACATGGAGCTCCACTCCACGATTGCTCGTAGTGTGCTGATGAGTGAGTGCTCACTGGTGAGAACTAACCGTGCTTCCTTCCATCTTTTGTTTTGGTGCACTCAGTCTGGAAAGGTGTCAGCCGACAATACTGTGGGCCGCTTCTTAATGAGCCTGGTTAACCAAGTACCCAAAATAGTCCCCGATGACTTCGAGACCATGCTCAACAGCAACATCAACGTGAGTGCCATTCCTGGGGCCCTGGGAGCCCGGCTCCTTCAGCCCACCTCAGCACGCACACACAGATGTGAAGGGAGTGGGGTGGGGGCCTGGAGAAGGTAGGGAGGTTCCGCTTTGGCCTCCTTACAGTCCAGCCTGGGAGAAGGAAGAGGTGGTACACACGTGTCCAGAGATTCTCTTCCCTCGATTCCATTGTCTCAGCCACGGCCAGTGCTATTGGGACTTGTTATCAGATTCATGATGGAAAGATGCTAAAATTCAGAGGTCAATGGAAACGTAATTTCTTATTTTCCCCGTCTGGGTTCACAGACCACCCTATATCCCTCCTAAGGATCTCAGTGACTGAGTGTTCTAGTCTATAAGTATGTCAGTAGAGATGGGCAAATCTTCTCAAGCACATCCTTCCTGTCTCTCACCCTTAACATTACTCAGTCCGTCCCAGCTGTCATTTACCCAAGATCATCCTCATACCCAGTGTCCACCGTGGAGCTAGCTGAGACCAGCCCGCCTGCCCTTTCCTCCCATCCCTCACTCACTGTGTGTTCTTTGTCTTCCAGGACCTGCTGATGGTGACCTACTTGGCCAATCTCACACAGTCACAGATCGCCCTCAATGAGAAACTTGTAAACCTGTGAATAGGCCCCCAGCAGCCCTCCTGCCAGTCTGGACTAGGACTCACAATGAAGTGGAGAAGAAATGCTTTCTTTGTGGTCTTGAGTCATAGTGAGTCAGTCAGCTGCTCATGACTCTAAATAAACATCCAACCTATTACAAGTGAACCCCATCTTAGTGACTTTATTGTGGGATAGAAGAGAGAAAACTGTTGTAGAGCTCACACAGAAACCAGGAAGTGACGCTGCAGGTAGGAGTTGGTTGCATGTTTGGTGTGTCTCGTCATCAGCAGTTGTTCCCACAGCCCAGGCCTCTTCATTCTCACCTGCCCCCACACCAGATAGCCTTCTTAGCACACTAATGTTACAGGAGCACTTTCTCCCCAGTCTCTTGGCTATGATCGGAGCAAACCACACCTCGAAAAAATAGATTCTCATTGCTTCTCCATAGCATCTTAGTGGATGGCAGTACAACGGGTTGTGCATGCCATGTTGAAGTACCTGGAGATGGGCTAGTAAGGGGGAGGAGAGGAGAAAGGAGGAGGGATGCAGATCTCAGTGCTGGGACCCGTGTGTCCATGCCAGTAGCATGACAACCTTGTCCGTGGTGAGAGTTAACTACTTTACCAAATAGTTTTTTGGTTTTCAGTCTGGAAAGGGGCCACTGACAGTACTGTGAACATCACTTGATGGGTGATGTGATTTCCACAGGAAGTGAAAATGAGAATCTATGGAGAAAAATTGTTGAGAGAATTGGATGCTTAATCCAGACTAAAAGAGTGTGTATGTGGTCAGTGTCTTAAGTACCTGAATAGTAGGACGGAGTTGTTTGCTATATTTAGTTCAGGGAGGCAAATTAGGATCTACGAGTTGAAATTTAAAGAGATCATCTCATGGGCCCGGCAGATGGTGTGGTGGTTGGGGGCATTGAACTCCCACATGACTGACCATGGTTTGGGTCCCAGATCTGGTGGCTTCCTTTCTCACTTTCTCTCTCTTTCTGTCTCTCTCTGGTCAAATTGTAAAATAATAATAAGTAAAGTTAAAATAATTATTTTTTAAAAAGAGAGATCACCTTAAAACCTCAGAAAACACTCAGGGGCTCTTTGTAACTTGAGAGAAGCCTTGAGTCTGTTGAGGTGTGCCAATAACTGAACCTAAGCAAAAACTAGAAGACACCTCCCAGAGATCTTATAGGACGGGGTAACCTCAAAGATTTTGGGTCCCAGATGGTGTGGCTCTTTCTCACTTTCTCTCTTTCTCTCTGTCTCTCTCTGGTCAAATTGTAAAATAATAATAAGTAAAGTTAAAATAATTATTTTTTAAAAAGAGAGATCACCTTAAAACCTCAGAAAACACTCAGGGGCTCTTTGTAACTTGAGAGAAGCCTTGAGTCTGTTGAGGTGTGCCAATAACTGAACCTAAGCAAAAACTAGAAGACACCTCCCAGAGATCTTATAGGACGGGGTAACCTCAAAGATCCTTTTCATCCTCATCCTGGAGTTCTACCTGGGCACTGTGAAGTGTCGTAGATTGGGAAAGAAAAAGTAATTATTCAGCAACTGAAGGGTTTATTACATATTGCAGTGTAGAGGTGAGTGAAGACAACTGGAAATCAAAATGACCTGGATCCTAATTCTGTTTCCGAGATAAGTAACATGAAGAGTTACAAGACGTGGGGACCAGCAGGTGGCTTAGTGGTTAGGGCACTGGACTTCCACATCCCAAGAATCCAGTCCTGAACCTGGCAGCTTGAAACTCATGCTGGGTACGTGTGCATGCATGCCCAAAATCCTGAGTGGAGAGTGGAAAAGGGATTGCAGTATGGCCATCCTCACTACGGGGGTGATTTCTCACTTTCTCTGTCCCTGTCTCTGTCTCAGGTGAGCACACATACCCTATAGCAAAAATCTCTTAAAACAAAAAATCACAAGATGTGGATTATAATAATACACGACCCATTAGGGTGTGGTTGGGATTGCATGAATTAATAAATGTTGGGTTAACAGTTGCAGAGAATAGTACCTGGTATATAGTAAGCATAAATAAGGGGTAGGTTCTTTATCTGAAGCTGAATACAGTTTGAAAGGAATAAGCAACATGACCCCAGCCTGAATCTTAATTCTAGTTGTGAGACATGTAAACTTAGGAGATACAAGGTCTGAGAGTTATACAGGTTGAACAGTAATGACAGTGACTTACATGTAGAAGAATGTGAACATCTGCAAAATGGTAATGGTCATGCCAAATTATGCTTTTAAAAATAGAATACATGGTGGGACCAGCAGGTGGCATGGTGGTTAAGGCGCTGGATAGTCCCACATGGCCGACCAGGGTTCAAGTCCTAGACCTGGTGGCTTGCTTTCTCACTTTCCTCTCTCTCTCTCTGTGTCTCTCTCTGGTTAAATTAAAGTGAATGAATGAATGAATGAATGAATGAATCTTTAAAAAAATAGAATACATGGTAAGGAAAGGGTTGATTAGAGTAAGTTTATGTAAATTCTAAGATTAATTACTGAAAAAGTATAATAAATATCTCTAAATGAGGAGTGATAAGAGATAATATGATAATAAAAAGGAAAATTAATTTTTTTTTTTAATTTGAAAAGTGAGAATAAAAGGGTGGTAAAACAAAATGACAAAAGTAAGTCCATAGATCAGTAATCACAGTAAATGTAAAAGGATTAAGTTAGCTGGTTGGGGAGAGGATGGAATATTAAAGCAGAACAAACCCCAGCCATATGCTGTTTACAGGAGAAATAGCTAAAACAATGGAGAGAACTGTCCTGCAGCTATAAGAAAGAATATGAGTATTTTTTTTTTTTTTTAAGATTTCTGCCATAGGGTATATGCATTCTCCAAAGTGAGAAAGGAAGGGAAATTTGAGAAATTACTCCCCAAAAGGAGATGGCCATGCTATAATCCCTTCTCCATTCCTCTCTCAGGATTTTGGAAATGCATGCATACATGTGCAGTGGGCTTTTCAAGCCATAGGGTCCAGGACTCCAACCTCATAGTCATGTGAGATCCAGCACTTTAACTACAGTGCCACCTGCTGGCTCTGTGAGCAAGTTTTAATAATAATACTTACAAACAAAGTTTAAAAAGTGAAACTAAATTTACTTAGATATACACATAGTTAATTCTCATTCATAGTAGTTAGGTTCTTATAAAGTTGTGATGAACACTACATTAGTGAATCTGGCCACATTTTTGTCAACTAATCAGTATGAGGGAACTTCAAAAAGATTATGGAAAAACGGAATTAAAGTATAAGTAAGGGACCAGCAGATGGCGTAATGGTTATGTCATTGGACTCCCACCTCAGTTTGAGACTAGATCCAGTGGCTTAAAACTCATAACAGGTGCGTATGTGTGAGGTCAGCTTTGCCTGTGAAGATCATGGTGATCAGTTTCTGCGTGTCCTCTTTCCACGGGACTGAGACACTGGACAAGGAAATGGAAAGCTGAAAGGGACCAGAGGTGATACCCCACCTTAGCACTCCATGGGCCCATACCATAAATCTCACCCCTCCATCTGCCCAAGCCAGAGCCCTCAAACAAAATTAACCAGGGGCCAGCAGGTGTCATGGTGATTAAAGTGCTGGATTTCCACAGGGCTGGCTGCAATTCAAGTCCCAGACCCAGTGTCTTAAAAATCATAACAAATAAATATTAAGAACAAACAAAAACTAATCAATTTAACTTCTGAAGAGCCAGGAGGAGTCTAGGAATGTGGAAAAGTGTTTAAAATTCTCTTTCCTGGGACCAGCAGTTGGCGTAATGGCTATGTCGCTGAACTCCCATGTAGTCGACCACAGTTCAAGTCCCAGACCCAGTGGCTTAAACTCATGCCAGCGCCTGTGCGTGTGTGCCCAAGATCCCGAGAGGAAAATGGAGGAGAAGGGATTGCAGCGTGACCATCCCTCCTGGGGGGGTGATTTCTCGCTTTCAGTCTCTCTGTCTTCCTGACAAGCGCCCACACCCTATAGCAAAAACCTCTCAAAAAAAAAAAAAAAATTTCTCTTCCCAAACCCAGGTCTGTGTACTCTTCCGAACCTGCTAACTGCTTGGGTACCAGTAAGGCCTTGAACTCTGCTGACTCCTAAGAGAATTGTTTCAGGGCTTTGTTCTTAATGGGCCTGGAGAGTATTGGGAGGCTTTTAGGGAAGGGTCTCAACCAAGTACCAGAAAGCTATGGATCTTGTGGAGAACAGAACCTACTGAAACCTGCAGACCCTTGAAAAGAAGCAAATTGAGGGGGTCTTAACTAAGTATTCCCTGCCCTGCGACAGGAGAATATAATGAGACAGGCTTCAGCAGAGCATTGGCACCTCATCTGGTTCTGCCCTTCCCGTCCTAGATGGAGAGCCCATTTCGCCTTCCATCTCCTGCAGAACTGCCAGCAACAGCCATATTCAACCCCAAATGGCCTCAGTAACCCATTTCCCCAAACCCTGTAGCAAGAGCATTTGTAATCTCATTCAGCAAAAAGAAAACTGCCTTGGAGTATTGAGTCAGTTCTTACTGCAAGTTTGCTTGGCACAGCCTGAACTATCACATCAGGTTATAAGCATATCTGATGAAGAAATTAGCATTTTTTCCACAAAAGAGCCATAGGTGACATTCAAGGAGTGCTTAAAAAGGGCCTGAGTTGTTTTAAGGTAGGAATCCAGTTGTTAGAACTGACGTCCCATCATGGTGTCCTCAAACCCATGCACAATCAGTCATGTAAGTCCTTTTATTTTGAGAGAGAGATTTTTGCTATAGGGCATGTGCAGTCGCTGGAGAGACAGACAGAAAGGGAGAAATCACTTCCCCAAGGGGGGATGGCCACACCACAGTCCCTTCTCCATTCTCCTCTAATGATTTTGGGCACATATGCACTCATGCCCAGCGTGAGTTTTAAGCTGCTGGGATTTTCCCTCTTTTCCTCAGTGAAATTATGAAACCTGTATGTGTCTCATGGTAGTCTGTCTGCCTTGTGATGATACTTTGTCTCATTGAGGTCTGCCAACCCTGTGCTTATGTTTTTGTCCCATAATCATGGTCGTTAAATTTTTTTCTTTTTTTAATTTTATTTTATACATTTAATCACTATACATCACTTTGCTTATAAGCTGAATTTACCCCATATGAATACACTTCACACCAGTCCAGTTGATACA